GATTTTCCTTCTGGTGGACCCTCTTTGTCTCTTTTCTAGTTCAAGCCAGGCTACTGGCAGCAGAAAAGAAGAAAGAGGGAACCCCATGAGCCCTAAGGGCCAGCTCCCTGAGAAAGGCTCCAAGACCAGAGCCATGCAGGACAAACCTTTCCCTAACGCTCCATCAGAAAATATTCCAGCATCCAGGAAAGATGCAAGACTTGGACAGAGAACATTCATGTACCCATAGCTCACATTTCACTCGGCCTGGTTTATTCCATGTCTAACCACCCCTTTATCCACCCAACTATTCATCTCACGCTTTTATATAGCCCTCAATCCATTGTGCCCCTGAACAATTTTATGGGGTAATCGTCAAGTAGACTTCAACATTTGTTTGCAAATCACATCCCCTGTGGCGCATCAAAATGTGGAACAAGTGGACGTGGAGCATCCTGGCTCACAGAGTGGAGGAACCAGAGCCTGTCAGGGCAGCCTCGCCTGGAGTCACAGCTCATCCCTGCTTGTGAATGGAAGCCCCCTCAGTCCCAGGCCAACTGGGACCATTGGCCCTAGCCCCATCTCACCCGCCGGTCTCTGAGGCCCCTCTGCTGGGGCTCCTGTGTACTCCGAGGTGTGTAGATTGGAAACCACTGGCCTGGCCCTCACAGTCACCTCTCTGGCCTGGCATTCTGCCCAGGCCTTCAGGACTGGCCACAGCAGCTCTTTCTTGGTCTGAGGCTGAAGGAGCCTGGTGAGTGACCGGCCGAGCCAGCCAGAGGGAGGTGAGAGATGGACTCCGAGCTATCGGAGGCACCATAGAAGCTGCCGAAGAATCCTGAGCCAGGGTCCTGGTTCTGCTCCACCCCGCCCCTGCCCTGTGTTCCAGCTGCTGCCTTCATGAGGCCACCTGGCTGCTCAGCTCTCAGGGCCCCTCCCTATGAGTCCTCCCGTTCATTGCAGAGGGTGTCATCCCAAACTCCCAGGTCACATCCTGCCAGTGCCATGGGAGGTGGGGGCATGATGCTGGGCAAAGGTGGGAGGTAGGGACATTTGAGGTCATTGTGAAAAGCACCACATGGTGGAAACAGACAGCTGACCTCAGCCAGGGTCAGGCAGAGCCATCCACATGTGGCACATGGGCCGACATGGACAGCGTGATCACTGGGGCCAAAACAGGAATGTCTCAGTTGGAGAGGGGAGGGGTTTTGAGTAGAAACTGGCTGGAGCCGGTCGGGCAGGAAGTAGAGGTGATGATGTTCTGAAGGAGATCCGAGATCCGGGGACTTTTGCCCTCTGTTTTACAGGTGGGAGGTTCTCCGTGAACGTGTGGGCTGAGAGTGGCAGAGGGCACACAGCTCAGACACGGCCCACCTCCCCCACTGCCTCCCGCCACCCTCCCCTGGACATCGGACCTCAGCTGGGAGTGAGCAGAGCTGATGTATCTTCTCACCTTCTCTCACCCTGCCTGCTGGGTGCCCCCAAGAGCAGAGACCACTGACAGTGGCCTGCATGCCACCTCTCATTCCAAGTGCCCGCTTCCCCCGTCAGTCCCCGATCTTTCAACCCATGCTTTCATCCACCAGGAAGCCGAGCACCTAAGTCAGCACAGGGGTCCCCAAGAGGCATCAGAGGTGGCCCCCTGAAGTCTCCACTCAGAGCCATCTGTGCAGGGCAGGGTGAGGCCCAGGTCACAGAATACTTCCTGGAGGAAAGGCCTCACAGCTGGGTGACATCAGAGGGCTGCCTTTTCTGCAAACCTGGGGGGGCCCAGACTGTGGGGTGGGTGTGAGAGAACACTGGGCAGGATCAGGCCCGGCTGGGCACCCAGCACTCAGTAGCCTCTGCAGGTAGTGACGGATCATGCAGGGGAACCAGCCAGCCACAGTCACGTGCCACCCTGGGAGCGCAGACTCGGGCAGGGCCCTGGGGAGGTCTGTGATATCTGGCATGAGGTCTTGGCTGGTTTGGGGCTCATCAAGGCATTGAGGCAGAGGATGGACAGGATGGAGAGTGTGTCCAGGAAGGAGGATCAGATACTGGGGCATGGATATGAGAGGGGCCTAGAAGGCCAGGAGTCTGGTCTGGAGCCTTCAGGCCTTCC